GCCGTGATTATTTTAATCGCGGCTTCATTTCCCTCTGCCGATCTGGCTAATCTACATGCCTCCGTCGAAGGAGGCATGTAGTCTAGACACACCCTGGGATATTGCTGGAAGGCAGTTCTCTCGACAAAACAAACAGCAGAGTCCACAATGGCTCTTTGTCGACGCTAAAGGGAAGGGAAAAGTGTGTGTCTTGGAACTGTTTTGTCACCAAAACTGGGTGTTTTTCCCAACAAAAGTTGCACTGCAGTGTGCGCGCTCTTACTGTTTTGTCAACAAAAGACAGTTTTTGGCGACAAAACCTGCCAGCGTCGACAAGACCTCAGTCGCCTAAGGATGCTAGAGCCAAGTGGCTTTATCATCAGATACCTGCCCAAATCAGAACTGCCACCAGCCAAGGAGATTCTTCCTTTTGTAAGGGGTGTGCTCGTTTGCTCTGTGCGCGCAGGCAGGACAGAGATCTCTAAGCACGACAGAAACCAAAGGGCTGCGTGAGGGGAGGGAGTGGCACAGAGGGCTGGCTGCCTCTACGCCGCCTCTTCCTTCTGGGAGTGCAGAGTCACACCCCACACCTTGCCCCAGGGGCCCCATTAAAGTAACAAGCTCCGGCACAAGCCCTCTCTGCAGCTCTTGCCAGTCGCCAAGACGCCAGTAATTGTACCTGCAGCTTTACCTGCATGTGGGGCCTTCATGCCAAAGGAATCCTTCATGCCGTGCGCTGCATGTTCAGACCTTTTCTTTTAAAGCATCCGCTCCCTCTCAGGTCATGTCCATTCCAGCTTTAATACTGCAGGCGCTTCTACTGAGCTTAGGCAATGAACTGTAATTAAACTGGTGTCGCTGGGCTAAAAGGCAAGGAGAGGGGAACGCTGCCGTCTAAGGCAAAGAGTGAAGGAGAGCTACGTAGAGTTTGCCAAGAGGGTCCCACTTAGTAACGAACGTGGACAAAAGGAAACCTATGCTGGATGCCAAGAAAGCTCCCAGTGGTAACAGCCAATCAGCTGTGGCAAAGGGGGATCCCTGTTGGGGGGTGGGGTCATTTAAAACCAGGGCGGAATGAAGCATCAGCAGGCTTAGTGTGGGGAAACCCCTTTTTATAATGCCTTCCCCCATCCCATGGCAATTGTTTAGATGGGACTGACATGGGTGTCGCCACCTTCCGCGGCAGGTGACGGGTCCGCCTCTCTTCTCCTGAGGGGCAATGGCGCTTGAGACTCTGCTAGTGAATCAGGACTCCTAGGCGTCATTCACGGCGCCTGCCACTAATCGGCGTGATCCGGGGCATGTCGGAGCACATGTCCGGGGCTCAGCTCCCCCTTCTGTAGAATACAATAAAGCCTCCCTCCCCAGAAAGCTGGAAGGGTGAGTTAGCCAACGTTCATCAACTGCTATTATTATAAATGATTATTATTATCATCATTAATAGCACTTGATGAACATTAGCTAACTCACCCTATTAATAACAATACTCCAAGGCCTGGAGCCCCAAAGGGCGTTCGGTTTGCCAAATTCCTTCTCTTCTAAGTGTATCATTATTGTTGTTACAAGAGCCCCGGGCTCTCAGAAGAATGCAGGGTAGGAAAGAACTAGTTGGCCACTCCGGTCGTGTTCTGGAAGCTCATGGCGGCCTACAATCTGCCTTCCGAACCACTGCATCAAACCGTCATCTGGTTATGGCTTCTGCTAGAGCCGGACTAAAATGATATTCTCTTAGCCTCAGGAAACAGTCTTCTTGATAAGTTATCGGAAGCCACAAAACCCAGGAAACCCATTTCAACAGTAATGTTCATACACTACCACTTCGCCACTGTGTACACACACTAAAAGGGCACACCGGTTCTTAATCTCCTCAGCATCGATAAAAAAGCAGAATCACCCCCTACCCCTGTGAAAGCCACTCTTGATTTCTTGAGACTTGTATCCACCAGAATGGAATGTATTGAAGCTTTTTATGGCAGGGCCCACAGCATGCGTAGCTGCTATGATTTTTAACAGTTGCACAGTTTTAAACATATTTTTCCATCCTTAGCGTCTGCCACAGGCAGAGCCTCGCAGATCCGTGGGTCTCCACATCTGCAGACGTGGAGAGCCGCAGCTCATTTTTGTAGCTACGGACACGGATACCAATTTTGTATCTAGAACCCTGCAAATGGGCAGATCTCCACGG